ATATATCGTGGTTTGTAATTGTTCATCAGGTTAGCATGGCGCAGGAAGCTGTTACTCAAGATATTGGTATCGAAGATGAAAGCAAATAGCAGAGCGGAGTATAGCGGATGTGGACATACGTGAGGCGAATCCGTGTGCTCACCTAAAGATTACACCTAAATACTAGGCAATATCTCTACATGAGACTTGAGAGGCTCAGTTTAAAAAAAACCCCCCTGACATAAACTAACAAAACTTGCATAACATTAATTCATTATTTACTCTAATTAAAATATGTCACATATTTATGTACTCTCTCTCTGGGAGACGGGTCTTTTATGCGACAACGAGTCAACAACACGTCGCAATCAAATTGGGATCGTTTATCCAAAAGACAGTCATATCGCATTGATTCTTGGTCGAATATGGAAAACGACGTAAACCACATGTAGCGTTCGTAAACGATGTGTCGCAGACTAAATCGACATGCCATTTGACAGTCATAGTGTGACAATTAGTACTATTGGTAACGGTACCGTTTATTTGAACACGACAACTTATAGTTATTTATGTAACAGCAGCGGACAGTCGTCAGTCGGAGAAGTAGTCGTAAACTCTAGGTTGAACAAGCTGTCGAATATGCATACGCATATTCGACCGCAAGTGTCTGATATCGATCCCTCTATAGTGTATCTCTTAGAATGGCATATCCAAAACGGTCAATTTTAAGATTTTTCGTAGTAGTGGAGTTTGAACCATTCATTTTTTTAGGGTTTGTTCCGAGTGATGTTCAAGACCAGGTCAGTACAAGCCGTTTCCGCCATCTAACTCCTCGTCCTCGATAGAATCACTACTTCGAGCTCCATGCTCTGTCAAAGTTCAGGTGCCGAGTATAAAGGAATATAGTTAAATTGATATTTTAAATGACGATGTTTTAAAGAATAGGGACATCTGAAAATAGCCACTACATAATATACAAATCGTGGACTGCCGAAATGACCAGTGTGACTATTGCGACCAATGCAACAACGACACGTCGCGTTAATACGAGTGTCATTTATGAATGCGACACGGGTCGTTTACCAGATCAGCTTAGAGACTACCAGTATACATATCAGAGTTCAGTGTTCACTATTCAGTATTCAGAGCTGGCTTGGTATGTTAGCGACAGTGTCATATTCGACAGGTAAAACGACTGTCGGATGTTTCGGAACTGTTGTCGTGTCGTTAATTTCTAGTTTCTCTCTTCGAGAGCCCTCTACCATGGCAGAGACAGGGCTCCCACCTTCAGGAAGGATGGATATTACGCCGAAGGGGTATAGACCAGCGTAGCGGGTCTATCCAAAGGAATGTAAGAGCTATTCTTTCTGATGCCTCTGCTCTACTATCGTAGAGAGCGGGCTCCCGAGGGATCTTACATCCCGAGGGGATTCTCTTACATCCCTGCTTTCGGATGGTGGAGGGTCTTCCTCCTACATTTTCGATACCCCGGGTCCCCGGGGATATCCCTCGGGAAGACTGTAGCAAAAGAGGGTGGTGGTGGGTCCCTCCCCGGAACCCGGGGAGGCGGCTCTTCGGGGTTCCGTAGGGACCCTTATAATCTAATCAAATATATCCTACAGGCACCTTCGGTACCCTCGGGAGCAAGCTTTGCCCTCTACGCTACACATAGGAGAGTGTCCCCTCCAACCACCTACCATAGTGACACTCTTCCGCCACGGCTATTATTCAGGTCAATAGATATATTTCATCGACTAAGGAATAGGCTAAGCCTTTTCATTGGCGAATATTCCAGGTCTAGATCCAGGCGACGGGTTTGAGCCTTTGAGGTTACCGAGTACCGACACCAGGTTTCTGCCAATGTCGCCACGTTGTTAAGGTTAACGACGGCGGAAACATCAAATATGGCGGAAGTGCAAAATGTAATGTCGTTTACCAACAGGCAACAAGTCAGGTTCAGGCTTCATAGTTCACAGTTCTGAGTTCACACAGTGAGTCGTGAGACTTCACTTAGGAGTTGGGACTTGGGAGTCTGGGTCTCTGGGACCCTATTAATATACCGGATCTTATAAGTTATTGATATACATTAATGCAATGTACATAGTAAAATATACTTAAGATAGATAAACCTTAAACTAGATACTCTATTACCTCTTAACTCAGGGTATTTATAGTTTCTATACTAAGTACTAACTGACATAGTAATATGTTCAGGATTGAAAAACCTCCCTGGTCAATGGGTAGGAAAACCCCATCTAGTGCTAATAGATTATCTACCAATCAGATAGCTTAGAATGTCTCTGCAGCGAGCCGATACTTCGCACCTCGTCTCTACAGTACAACAGACCCAGAGTCACCGAGACTCTGTAGTCTGTGTGAATTGTTTTGTTTTTTTAATAAAAAAACATAAAGAGTGATAATTTATCATTTTATGATTTAGCCTTTTAACCAGAGGTTTTACATAAAACATGAATATTTATGTGGTTTGTACTTACTACTTAGTTGTGCATTTATTTTTAAATAAAAAGTTTTAAATCCACATTTTTTTAATGAAAATAGTGAGAGTAATTTACAGCTTGTGGTATGCGGCTAGTGACTCTACTAGTCAGTAGTGAGTACTGAGTAGTACATAGCCAAGCTTGGAACTTCGGAAGCAAATAAGTATATTAGACTATTAGTATATGTAATGTATATTTTACAATTGTTTTAAAAACAAATACCAAATTCTCGAGTGCAATCAATTTTTTTAATAATAGCAAAAAAAAAGTTCAAAATATGCCTGATAGATGCTTGCCTTGACCGCGGATAAATACACTGTCACAATAAACATTCACGAAGATGCACTAGAAACCCAATAAATCAACAACGGTAGTTGCCAGTCGGTGCATAGTTCTTTTCAAAACCTATTTATCATTTTGCTCGCATATGGCACACATTGGTAGTCGGGCGCCTATAACAGCACACTACATACCCACAAATGTGACAAAACACATACAAAATGAAACATGTTTCAGATACGACACATATTCCTCTACATTGTAGTAGTCGTTCTCTGCTTCGGTAGTATTCTGGCACAGGATGATGTTGATGAGCTTAGAAAGTACCAAAAAACATATGGATTGAAGAACACTCCGCGCAAAATCAATACCAAGGCATTCAAAGGAGAAAATGGAATCGGTCTGCGTGTTGTTATCAACGCCCAGACCGTCGATTTGAGCCTAGAACGAAACCCAATAGCTCCGCTAGATGGACACACTAGACAGTACACGTACAGGTGTTTCTCTGAGCAGTATAGGAATGAAATGCTCTGCAGTGTAGCACTTAGGCCAAATGGTGATGTTCGCAGCATGATTGTGTATTGGGGAGACGAGACATGGATCTTTGAAGGCATCGGAGATGGAAAGTCGATGTTGTTTAGAGCTTCAGATTTGGAAGAGTCTGGCTTCCAAGATATAGTCTTGTATCCCCAGAACAAAAAGGCTCGAGCAATGCAAGCGCGACGACACACAAATGTGGACAAAACTTTACCGAGAAATACTCAATCAACAATATATAATGATGACGAGCACGAGTTAAACGAAGTGTCCAATTTTGGGTACACATCCCACAATAAACATAGCCGGGCACGCCGGGCCATCTACAAAGTCACACAAATTAGAATGACATACGACAAGGTCTATCTAACACGGCTAGCACAATTGCAAGGATTAAGCTCATCGCAGGCTACAATATCACAAGCGGATACTGTCACCATGGTGCAATTGAATCATATGAATACAGTTTATGAAAACCAGGTAGGAATAACATTCCAACTATATCCAAATTCCCGGGTACCAGGATCCGCATTTGCGAATGGAAATTACGGAACGATCTCCGATGGTAGCGCGATACTTGATTCTTTCGGCGATGATATCATTGGCAACGTTGGTGATCTAAATGTACTGATGACTGGCCGGAATCTAATTAACAATGTCATTGGATTAGCTTGGGTTAGTGGAGCCTGTGACAAATCCTACAATTCGGCTGTATTGGCGCCACTCACCCTGCACGGTCTCTTCATCTCCCAGGTATCGCTTTTCGCGCACGAGGTAGGTCACAGTTTCAACTGTCAACACAATACCGACCCTACATCCTTGATGTACTACTCAGAAAATGGATCTTTAATGTTTGGTAGTACGAGTCGGAACGTGATAGCTGCCCATGTGAGGGAAGTCGAGGCCAATATATACGGATGGTATCACGACCAGTGTTTCGAGGTGCAATCTGTCGATGATAACTCCCCGTGTGAAAGTAACACATGCGGTGCCGGCGGTACCTGTGTGGAGGTTGGTAGCTCATACACTTGCCAATGCAATGCAGGATTCAGACTTTCTAACGATGGATTCAAGTGCGAAGACGCTCTCGATCAGTGCGTTGGTAATCCATGTGGCGAGGGAGGTGATTGCTCGGATGGCTTGAATACCTACACATGCAGTTGCAAAATCGGCTACACACTCTCCAATGACAAAAAGTCGTGTATACACGTATGTGCAAACAAGCCTTGCGGTGGTGGAACATGCTCAATATCAGGCAATGATTATAGTTGTATCTGCGCCGGCACTGGTATGGAAGGACGAAACTGCGAGACAGATGTTAATGAATGTGTAAGAGATGCGCCTTGTGCGCACGGAGATTGTGTCAATAGTGTAGGATCTTTCGGATGCGTATGCGATGCAGGTTATAGTGGTACTCTTTGCGATGTTAACACAAGGTGCGACGCAACTCCCTGCATGAATGGTGGCGAGTGCTCCCCGAGCAACTCGGCCGCTGGATACACTTGCAATTGTTACGGAACTGGCTTGACCGGACAATATTGCGAAACTGACATTGATGAGTGCGCAAGCACACCCTGTGTGCATGGAGAGTGTAGAAATGGCATCGATTCCTTCGTATGTGCATGTCAGACTGGATATGGTGGGATACTATGCGAACAGAATCAAGAGTGCGAAACAGGTTTCTGTTGGAACGGAGTCACGTGTCAGACTAGTGACTCAGCAGTTGGGAAAACCTGTACCTGCGTAGAGGGATATGCAGGGCCCCAGTGTGGGACGCGTATTGGGACGTGTGCCGACGGTGATGCGTGTCTGAATGATGGACTTTGTACCACCAATGCAGACAATACATACAACTGTGAGTGCCCCCCCGGATATAAAGGTGCCAGATGTGCACAGAATATCAATGAGTGTATAACGGCTAACACGTGTGTAGTGGACAATACAGTGACGTGCCGGGACAAACACCTTGGCGTGGTGTGTGAGTGCAAACCTGGCTATAGCGGAGACAACTGTCAAATAGACTCATGCACGTGCCTAAACGGCGGCACTTGCGAGTTGGATCACTATGGAGTGGACATGTGTAGATGCCCTTTGGGTTATCACGGTACCAGTTGTGAAAACCTACCACTATTGAATCGTAATCAAGAGAATGCTTGCGCGATGAATGAAAACCCTTGCAATGGTAGAGGAAACTGCCGCAATAAAGACATAGGAGATGATCTCACAGAACCCGAGTGCATGTGCTTTGGCGGATTCGACAGCGTAGACTGTGCAACAGCTTTGTTCGATTCCTGCGAGAGCTCTCCGTGTCAGTTTGCAGGGGCTTGTCGTAACTCGCGTTTCGGGACATTCAGGTGCACCTGTGTGCCAGGTAGATACGGTTCACTTTGCGAGCAGGATGTAGACGAATGTGAACCCGACCCTTGCATGGTTGGCAAGTGTCAAAATAGACACAATAGATTCAAGTGCATATGCCCTACGGGGTGGTATGGTGAATTTTGTAATTTGAGAACACGGTAGTTATAGGCTAATATTTAATCAAGACAAGACTGGATTTTACACATAGCTTCTTAAATTGAACAATTGGTGAGGCTATGTTTTACGAAGTTAACGGACCATGAAAGATCAAATAATTAAAAAACATAGCGAGTGTCGGGAATGCTCCATAGTCACCTGGCTATCAGACACCTACAACAACTATCCACAGGACATTCTGCCAATAATCAAATTCAGATGAGTTTATTTTATATACAGCTGATTGTGAGTACAACCTTTTAAAAAGGTAGAATCCTATTTTCAACGAGTAATTCGGATTAAAACACACTTGCATTTGAAATAGTGATGATTGTGTATCGGGCCAAACGTAGAATCAAACCTTCAAATCTCAGGAAGCAACCCTGGCTCAACAAACCAAACTTCACGCAGACATTTTATAGTTAAGCACGGTATGCTGGTAACTATTGGTTTACGGTATTGCAGTAATATTAGAGGACAAGTATGTATTAATTGTAACCTTGATAAAAGACTTGTGTACCAGGCGAAAAATACAACGTCTGAAATAT